CCAAACAAGATCTCTCCCTTGTTCCTTGTATTTGCCCCGTCTCTTCATGCCCCCCACCCCTGCCGTTTCACCCCATCAGCCTGTCTCCCCACTGACCCCCTCCCTTTGCCCCTCCACCTCGCTCGCTACACCCCCCAATCCCGGCGCAGAATCCATGCGAGCTATCAACAGCCTCTGACCGATTGCAGGTATCGACGATGACCCCTACACAGGGTATCCGCGGGGACGGAGGCAGAAGCGACTGGCCGCTCTCAGGAAGCCCCACATCCTGTTCACCCTCCTCCCCTCCCACAGGCGGGAGCCCCAGGCCAACGGCCTCCGCTGGCGCCGTGCTGTAGAGGAGGACGTCTGTTCCAGGTGAGAGTGAGGGGATGGAGAGGAGAGACAGAGAGACCCTGGAACGAGGCGGGGAGTGAAGCAGATACCCCAGGGAGAGTCAGAGATTCTGGGGAGACACGGGGATACCCCTGAGGAGAAGGAGACCAGGATATGAAGCTGTTATGGGCTGGGGCAAGGTGGGGAGAGTGGTGTGGATTACAGAGGGAGATGGACTGGAGAGTTAATTGTCAAAACTGCAGTCATGCATCTGCCAAACCAGGTAAAGACTGCAGATTCCCGAAGGGGCATTTTTGACCACAACTGAAACAGAAATTGCCGGAAAAGCTCAGCGGGTCTGACAGCGTTTGCAATCAGAGTTGACGTTTCGGGTCGAGCGACCCTCCCTCAGAGCTGGTGGTAGCTCGGAAAACCCTCGGGGTTTTTGCAGCGATTTTTGAGACAGCCGTGACAGAATCATAGAGCCCCCCTACAGCGTGGAAGCGGGCCGTTCGGCCCATCGGGTCCGCACTGACCCTCTGAAGAGCATCTCAACCAGACCCAACCTATCCCTGTAACCCCGCATTCCCCAAGGCTAAAGCACCCAGCCTGCGCACCCCTGGGCACTACGGGGCAGTTTAGCACGGCCAGTCCACCCTAACCTGCACATCTTTGGACCGTGGGAGGAAACCGGAGCACCCGGAGGAAACCCCACGCAGACACGGGGAGAGCGTGCAAACTCCATCCCTGAGACTAATGTCCAATTCTGGATTTAGTCCATTTAATTTAAATTCGCGGTGAGACTCGAACCGTGCCCGAAGATCAGTCTCCGGAAGACAAGCTCAGGGACCCACTATCCCTCTCCGGACTGGGACACGGTGGGATCAAATGGGCCATGAGGCTTGGGGGTT